TTGAGGGCAAAATTTCAAAAGTTTACAGATAAAAACAAAGCAAGCCTTTACTACAGATAAGTTTTAAAGAACTTAGGAAGAAAAAAGTGGTAAAATATGTGGTAAGTCTAGTAAACAAAGACTATATAAAATAACAACAATATGTTAGAAGGTTTAAAAAGCAATAAAATATAATACATTATAGTGATATCTAACTGGAAGGGTGCTCTTACCACATTAAGGACCCTAAATAGTCTGAGACTAGGGAAAAAGTACTGACTAACTTTAAACTTTGATATGTTAGTGGCCGGGCACAGTGGCTCATGCCTGTAATTCTAGTACTTTGAGAGGCCAAGGTGGGTGGATTACGAGGTCAGCAGATCAAGACCATCCTGGCTAACATTGTGAAACCCTGTTTCTACTAAAAATACAAAAAACTAGCTGAGTGTGGTGGCATGCACCTGTAGTCCCAGATACTCAGGAGGCTGAGGCAAGAGAATCTCTTGAATCCAGGAGGCGGAGTTTGCAGTGAGCCGAGATTGTGTAATTGTGTTCCAGCCTGGCGACAGAGGAGCGAAACACTGACTCAAAAAAAAAAAACAAAAACAACAACAACAAAAAACTTTGATATGTTGGTATAAATGACATAATTCCTAGGGAATCCAACAAGAAGATTAGAAACAGAGTGCATGGGTTTCAAATTAGCAGAAGAAACCATGAAATTATTTCTAAAATCCAAACAAAGGCAAGAAAGTGAAGATAATCAGTTAGAAAGCATCAGTAAAGAGGCTTTTACCCAAAATTAGAGTAGATTTATACCCAAAATTAGAGTAACCATATTAAATAAAAACTGTCTAAATGCTACAATTAAAAGTAAAGACTATGAAGTTGGCTTCTTAAAATGTAATCTACATGCTGTTTATAAGAGATATACCTAATACATAAATCAGAAAGATTGCAGACAAGTGCATTACCAATGATAAAGAATGACATTTTATAATGACAAATAAAAAGGTCAGTCCACCAGAAAAATAAGAAAATTCAAAATGAATTTTATCAGAAATGTATAATAATTCTCTCAGTAATAAATATAAATGCAGCCAAGGTGAGAAGATCACTTAAGACTGAGAGTTTGGGACCAGTCTGGGCAGCAAACACAGCAAGACAAAATCTTTAAAAAATTTGAAAAAAAAAAATTAGTTGAGCATAATGGTACATGCCTGTAGTCCTAACTACTTTGGAGGATGAGAAAAGAGCATCACCTGAGGCCAGGAGGCCAAGGTTGCTGTGAGCTATGATTGCACCACTGCACTCCAGCTTGGGCAACAGTAAAACCTTGTCTCTAAAAAGAAGAAAAAAAATACACACACACACATGCAGACAAAATAAATCAGTAAGAATGTAGAAAATTTAAACAAGATTTTATAGAGACAGAAAAATTATAATCACTGCAAAATTCATATTATTTTCATGTGCATAGAATATTAACAAAAATTGACCATATACTAGGCTATGAAACAAGTCTCAACAAATTTCAAAGACTGAAATTATACAAACCATTTTTCTGACTTCAGTGTAATTACATTAACACATGGACACAGGGAGGGGAACATTACACACTGGGGTCTGTTGTGGGTTGGGGTGCTGGGGGAGGTATAGCAGGGTTTGGGGAGATCGGGGAGGGATAACATTAGGAGAAATACCTAATGTAGGTGGCAGGGGGATGGAGGCAGCAAACCACCATGGCATTGTTACCTACGTAGCAGTCCTACAAGATCTGCACATATACCCCAGAACTTAAAGTATAATTAAAAAAAATTTTTTAATTTAAATTTTAAAAAAATGTTTTTTTAAGTTAAGTTCCACCCAAGATTCAAGAAAGAAATTATTCCAACCATATACAGAAAAAGGGAGTAATTTTCAGCTTAATTTATAACCTTAATCAGAAAGTCAACAAACATAGTAAAAGAAGGAAATTTTTCAGCCAATTTTACTCATGAACAATTTTACTCATGATCAAGACCTATAAATATTAGCAACAGAATCTATCTATCTATCTATCTATCTATCTATCTATCTATCTATCTATCGTCTATCTGTATTCAAATAATACATCATAATACTATTTATGCCACTCCCAAAATGCAAAGTGGAATGATAGACTAAAAGACAGAACCTATAAAATCATCAACAAAGGTAGGAAAGGCAGTTAAGATTGGACATCAAGTTATGGTTAAAACAAGCAACAAAAATGACAGTAGAATAGAAATAGAAAAAAACTTCTTTTAACATTATAAAAGGGTATCTACAAATATTGTAATGCTAAAATCTTCCTCTTTGAAATCAGGCACAAGGTGATGCTGCTGTGATCCCCACTCTATTCCACATTATACAGTAACATCCCCTTATTTGCTAGGGATATGCCAAGATCCCCATAGGTTCCTGAAACCATATTGTTTTGTTTTGTTTTGAGACAGGGTCTCACTCTGTCACGCAGGCTGGAGTGCAGTGGTGTGATCTAGGTTTACTGCAACCTCTGCCTTCCAGGTTCAAGTGAGTCTGGTATCTCAGCCTCCAGAGTAGCTGGGACTAGAAGCACACCACCGCACCTAGCTAATTTTTGAATTTTTAGTAGAGATGGAGTTTCACAAGTTGGCCAGGCTGATCTCGAACTCCTGGCTTCAAGCAATCCTCCCATCTTGGCCTCGACCACTGCTGGGATCACAGGCATGAGCCACCATGCCCAGCCCTAAAACCGTATAGTATTGAACACTACATATACAGGCATACCTGGTTTTACTGCACTTCACAGATTATATTGTATATTGTATCCAGATCACTGCATATTTCACAAGTTGAAGGTCTGTAGCAACCCTGCATTGAAAAAAATCTCTTGGTGCCATTTTTCCAACAACATGTGCTCAATTCATGTCTTTGAGTCACATTTGGGTAATTCTTATAATACTTGAAGGTTTTCCATTACTATTACATCTGTTATGCTGATCTGTGACCAGTGAACTTGATGTTACTATTGTAATTGTTTGGTGGTATCACAATCCATGCCTATATAAGGCTAAGAACTTAATCGGTAAATGTATGTGTTCTGACTGCTCTGCCCACCAGTCATTCCCCCATCACTCTCCCTCTCATTGGGCTTCCCTATTCCCTGAGACACAATATTGAAATCAGGCCAATGAATAACCCTACAATGGCCTCTAAGTGTTCAGGTGAAACAGAGTTGCACATCTCTCGCTTCAAATCAAAAGGTAGAAATGTTTGAGCTTAATGAGAAAGATATGTTGAAAGCCAAGACAGGCTGAAAGTTAGGCCTCTTGTGCCAGTTAGTCAAGTTGTGAGTGCAAAAGAATAGTTCTTGAAGAAAATTCAAAGGATCACTCCAGTAAACACACATGATACAAAAGCTAAGCAGCCTTATAAAGTTTGAGTGGTCTGAACAGAAGGTAAAACCAGCCACAACATTCCCATAAGTCAAAGCCTAATAGAGAGCAAGGCCCTAACTATTCAATTCTATAAAAGCTGAGAGAGACAAGGAAGCTGCAGAAGAAAAGTTGAAAGCTAGCCGAGCTTGGTTCATGAGGTTTAAGGAAAGAAGCCATCTTCCATAACTGAAAAGTGCAAGGTGAAGCAACACAGGCTGGAGAAGCTGCAGCAAGTTATCCAGAAGATCTAGCTAAGATCACTGATGAAGTAGCTGCACTAAACAATAACTTTTCATTGTAGATAAAACAGCATTCTATTGGCAGAAGATGTCATCTAGGACTTTCTAGCTAGAAAGAAGCCAATGCCTGGCTTCAGAACTTCAAAGGACAAGCTGACTCTTCTGTTGGGAGTTGAAGCTACTGCTCATTTATCATTCAAAAAAATCCTTGGGTCCCTAAGAAATATGCTATATCTACTCTGCCTGTGCTCTATAATTGGAACAACAAAGCCTGGATAACAGTACATCTATTTATAGCACATTTTACTGAACATTTTAAGCCCACTATTGAGATCTGCTGCTAAATAAATAAATAAAGATTCCTTTCAAAATATTACTGCTCATTGACAATGCACCTGGTCTACCAGGCATGGATCCACTAAACAAAGGGATGATTCATGTTCAGAGTGGACAAAGCAGGACAGTCCAAGATTTCATCATGCTGTAAGAACAGCACACAATTTAAAACTTCCAAATCAATTATTGGAAATTTCCATTTAATATTTTCTGACTCTGGTTGAGCATTGCTAACCGAAACTGTACAAAGTAAAACAGCAGATAAAGGAGAACCAGGAACTGCTGTACTGAAGATCTCCAGTGTCCTGAGACAAAAAAGAAGAAAAGGAGGGAGGGAGAGAGGCAGGCAGGCAATAAAGATTGGAAAGCATATTGTATCTAGATCGCTTTATAACAAATTACTCTGTTAAGTGGCTTAAAACAATAAACATTATATCACAGTTTCTGTGGAGTAATCCAGGTACAGCTTAGCTAAGTCCTCCAGCTCAGAGTTTTTCAAGTCTCCATCAAGGTGTCAGCTACAATTAGTCACCTCAAGGTTCAACCAAGGAATGAACCACTTCCAAGGTCACTTATACAGCTATTGGCAGGCTTCCTGCCGAAGCTGGCTGTTGGCCAGATACATCAGTTCCTTGCCTGATGGGCTTCTTGAAAGCGCAGCTCACAACATGACAGCTGGCTTTCCTAAGAGCAAGCCAGAGAGAGAATAAGAAGGAAGACAAGCAAGATGGAAGCCACAGGTTTTTTGGAATCTAATCTCAAAAGTGACAGCCCATCACTGATGATGCATTCTGTTCTTCAGAAATGTGTTATTTTAGCTCAATCCACACTCAAGGACAGGAGATTACACAAGATATTAAATACCAGGAAACAAGGATTACTGAGGACAATTTAGAAGGGAAAAGCAAATGCTGTTTTTTTCCTGGTGTGTAGAAAGTGCAAAAGAATCACATTAAATGTTTAGAATTAATAAGTAAGTCTAGCAAGGTTCCATTGGATACAAAACTCAGGAAACAAAAATCAGTTTTATATCATATACAAGCAACAAAGAGTACAAGGAAATTTTACAATATCATCATTTATAAAAGAATTGAACATCAGCACTGATCAGCTCAATAACTGTTGAAGCAAGAGATGGGTACTATCCTCTGAAACTTTTGATACTAACATTTTTTTAAAGTAGCAAATACTTGGGAGTAAATCTAACAAAAGATTTTCAAATCTTAACAGAAAAAACAACTTTTTTTCTCACTTATTTCAAATAAATGAATGGGCAAACCATGTTCATGGACTAGAAGACCTAATATTGCAGATAGCAATTCTCTCCAAAGTGATCAATAGATTAAATACATTCAAAATTTTAAGAAAATTAAACAAGGGGTGTGTGTGTCTTTGTGTATGTATAGGCTTGACAATCTGATATTAAAATATGTACAAAGATGAAAAAGTAAAAAAAAAAATGGAAAAAATGTTTAGCCATATCAGTAATCATGAAAATGTAAAATAAAACCATAATTAGGCACTATTAATACCACACTGACAACATTTCAAACTCTGACAGCAAATTTTGATGAGGATATTAAACAAAAGGAATTCATATACACTGTTAATGGGAGTATTAATTGGCACAACCACTTTGGATAATTGCTATTATCTATTTTTCAATTTCACATTTAGGTGGTGCTTATGTTTTATGATCTCTCCATAAGTATGTTATACTTTTTTCTTTAGGTAGTCTAAAAACAAAAAAAAGAAAAAGGAGCAAAAATCCACACAAACTTCCAAAGACAGCAACAGGAAAAGAGATTCTGAAAAATAAACTCTACTTTGGAGTTCAAATAAAGTAGAAAGAAGAATTATTCTTTGCCCTAAACAGAATGCCAAAGTCTGAGAATGAATCCCCAAACACTAAAAATTGCCCATTACATTACATAGTTGGACTGTAAGGTAGTACCCAAATGAATAGGAATACTTTGATATATTTTTAAAAGCAAAATCTGCATCAGTCGTAGGAGGTATTTTGCTACAAGAGAACAGGAGCAAACCGTAGGTGCAAGGGAAAATCAGTCCAAGGAGTACTATAAGCCAACTAGTGAGTGTCGCTCTCAGCTTTTTGGGTAATTGTACTCAGAGGAAGACTTTCAGGTGCTCCATAATCCAAGTGAACCACGATTTTATAAAAGGGCAAAGCAACACTAAAAAATTGTCAAAGTGCTCACCTAAAGGATAGTCAGTACAAAAGCCCAAATCTTACTTTTTACTTTCTCACAGAAATAAATGACTGATGTAAGACCACTAGTAAAGGCATTTGAGGATGCTCTCTAACTGATCTAAATAAATGCCAAAAAAGAAACATGAGGTATGGCATTTAAAAAAAAAAATAAATGGTATTTATTTACATTTCACTTACTTTCAAAAGGATGAAAATATATTTATAAAGGAAGTAGTCTCATTTTATTTAACTCATTTATGTTTGACTTAGAATCACAGGTCTAAGGGTAACCAAAGAATTGATCCAGCTCAACCTTTCACCTTTAGCTAAGACTGAAATTATACCGTCGCAGGCAGATGAAAATCTACTCCATTTATAGATAAATATCAATGAATATATATGTTATAAAAACACCAGCTTTAGCAAAATCTGTCATAACATCCAATAAATCTGCAAAAAAGGACACGGCCATCACAATACAGGACATTAAAAAAATTGTGTACAACAATAAAAACTGGAATTTATACAGGAGAAATCACAATTGGCTACTAAGTCAAAAGCATCACAGTAACAATACCCAGTGTCTTTCTTATTCAAGTATACACATTATTTTTAAGACTGAAAGTTAAGTCTTAAGGCTTTAATAAAGATATCAGTAACTAGGATATCTATACAAACAATTATTTAATAAACACCATGAAGAAGAGAACAAAGAGATAAAAAATACCCTTAAATTTTGTAACAATTACAAACATGTTAACATTATCACTATATATTTGACTCATAAATTTTAACTGATTTGTACACTTTAAAAATAGCATTGAGTTTTACAAAAATACTAATGGTTCGGCATTTTTTTAAAAAGTAAGGCGATCTTTATATATATTTCAGTAGTTTTTGTTTTATGCTTTTCTTTCTTCCACCACCATAGTCTTTATCTTAACCACCATTCACTCAAAACAACAACAGTGGTCTCTAGCTCCTGTTGCTATGGAAGTATTATTACATTCGAAAACTTCTAGTTCTTTGAAATGGTTGGAAAGGCTTCTTTAGTGCCCACATTAGCAGCTGTGGTTTAGGTTTGGGTTTTTCAGGAAACAGAAGTGCTTCACTTTCTGGTGTAGGAAATCGTTCTTGGTAGACTTCAGGATAGGATTTCTGAAACTAAAAAAATGAATGGTCCAAGGAGAGTAAAAAAAGACACATAAAAGCCAATAAAATTAGGCAGCCAAACTTTAAGAGTTCCTGAACCTGTATTTTCCTGTTTTTGTTTATTTTTGTTAAAACATTTGATTCCAATTTCTATAGAGCTAATTCATCTTTCCTTTTTGATCTAAGCTTCAAATAAAGTTCCCCTTTTAATCATGTTTCTTAAAATTTCCCCACTGTCATATATAAATAGACCTTACTTTTTAAATATTCACAAGGAACTCTGACTTCAAAATAACATCTGTTCTACACAGTTAAATGAAATTTTTGCCCAATTACATTTCACTATTTCTCTGTTTCTCCAACTCAGCCCCACTAGCTTCTGCCCAAATGGAAAAGGGAATATTCTGGTGTATATTGCTTTGTGAAGAGCTTAAAAAGAGGCGGTATACTTTCTGTTGATCTTCACCACCAAACTCTCCTCCGAAATGACTCTGAGGACAATATGACTAGAAGCCCAGAACTCTGCTGCTCTGTGTGTAATCCCACATGTACGATGTGATCTGAAATCCAGCTATGTAGAGTTCAGTCCTTAAAAACAAAAAGCCCACTCATCTGATCATGGATCAATCTTTAGGAACAGTCAAAATTAACATATGGTGAGTTAAAAATGATTCTCTGGAGCCCTAAGCTGTGTTCCCTAACATAAGAGAAATGAAATACTTGTAGTGATACCTGAGGCAAGAAACTAATTTGATAGTGGTTATCTAAAACCAAACAGCTTTTAAACTCTAGACATTTTATACCTGTGAATTCCATCTGATTTGCCTTTCTAAAATATGAGAAGAAATCTGCCCTCGCTGATTCTCTGAAATTAAGGTAGATGTTCTGCTAATTCACGTCATGCCATACACCAGAACAAAGGACAAATATTAGAGAATAGCAACGTAAATGAAGTTTGGCAATGGTGAAAGATTTACACTAAAGAATACAGATCTAGGAAACTGACCACAACTGTGTAAATCCGTGAGACTTCTGGAATGTATGACCTAACATACTTAGAAAACTGCTATGTCTCAGAAGATGCGATTTACATGAAATCTATTAAAATAAAATAAAAAAATAAAAACAGTAGGGAGGAGAAAAAATGACTTATAAGAAATATCCTTTTACCTGCTTCAGTTTCTTCTTCTTCTCTTTGCAGGAGAGTTTGGCATCTGTTATAACTTCCTCTAACAAGGCTGCCAGAGGTTCTTGAGAGCCGTATGATCTTTGATATTCAAATTCCTCTGGACTAATTTGACGGCAAAATGATGGAGCAGATAAAGTGATATCCATATCGGCTCCTGGATATTTTATCTGAGGCAAAAGGATTAGTAGTGAAAGAATATAGCATATTTTCAAATTATAAGAATTAGTTTAGATTGGCTGTGCACGGTGACTTACGCCTGTAATCCCAACACTTTGGGCTGAGGCGGGAGGATCACGAAGTCAGGAGATTGAGACCATCCTGGCAAACATGGTGAAACCCTGTCTCTACTAAAAATACAACAAATTAGACAGGCGTGGTGGCATGGGTCTGTAGTCCCAGCTATTCGGGAGGCTGAGGCAGGAGAATCACTTGAACCCAGGAGGCAGAAGTTGCAGTGAGCTGAGATTGCACCACTGTACTCCAGCCTGGGCAAATGGGCAAGACTCTGTCTCAAAAACTAACAAACAAACCAAAAAGAATTAGTTTAGATCAAATACGGGATATCTCCTCGTACTATAGGGATGCCATGTCAGTTCTCAAAATTTGATTGGAGGAAACTCTATATTGAAAAGTGAAAGTATTTCCATAACTTCAAAGTATTATTATTTGAAGCCACAGTTTTAAATAGGATTTTTGCCTTTGTAAACCCAAGATCCATTTTAATAACAAAAAAGCCTGTGCCGTCTTTTAACAAGATCTGAAATTCAAGCATAAATTAAACATATTGACTAAAATGATTCAAAACACTGATAATGTTGGACATCCACTGGAACTATCCAGGCTCCTTCCCACGTCTGAAGAGTCTGATTCTCAATGCCTTGGGGATGGTAGTGGCTCACATTAAGCTAAGCTTTTAGGAAGAGAGGGGTACTACAACCATTTCTTAATATCTTACCAGTAAGAATCAAGTAAAACAACAAATGTGCAGACACTGCAGAAGGGAGAAGGGAAAAGGGGGAAATAAGAGGAAAAAGGAAACCAAGACCTGTGAATAAATGAATATACATTAAAAATATTTCATTTCAGAGCCTGGAGTCTCTTCAAATAGAAGATTGCAGATGAGGCTCATAGAAGGCTTGTGTCAAAAACATTGTCTACCTCATAATGTATCTAGGGTCAGCCCTGAAACTGTCCCAAAACAATCACAGGAATAATCCAGGCAACACTGCATTTTCAGAGAAGCACTGCCCTAAATGTGATACAGTGTAGAGGCATAGAAGCCTAATCTAGAGAACAAAGATCCATAGGTTCTGAGTGCTGAAAGGAACAACTGCTTGGCAATTCCACTGTGTACTTGCAAGAGAGAACAGGTAACTGGACAATTGAATCACTGCTGATTTTATTCAGAGCACACTGCAGTGTCTCTTCATAGATCATGTTTACCTGCAGTGAAATTAATCATCATAGTTCAGCCTTCTGAACTTCAAGTAATAACAAAGGGCTCACAAAGCTAAGTTACTACAATATATCCCTGTGCTATGCATGTGAATACACAAACCTAGCAAGTATACAGGGCAACATAGTTATTGCTTGATATGGTTTGGCTGTGTCCTCACTCAAATCTCATCCTGAAATGTAGTTCCCATAACCCCCACAAGTTGTGGGAGATGGGAGGTAACTGAATCACAGAGGCAGTTATATCCCCACGCTGTTCTTGTGATAGTAAGTGAGTTCTCATGAGATCTGATGGTTTTATGAGAGGCTTTTCTCCCTTTTGCTCGGCACTTCTCTCTCCTGCTGCCTTGTGAAGAAGAATGTATTTGCTTCCCCTTCTGCCACGATTGTAAGTTTCCTAAGGTCTCCCCAGCCATGCTGAACTGTGAGTCAATTAGACCTCTTTCCTTTATAAATTACCCAGTCTTGGGTCTGTCTTTATTAGCAGCATGAGAACAGACTATCATTGCTATAACATTTTCTTGCTGAAACGTGGTGAAGTATTTCTGCTCATTTTTATTTTCTTTAGGTTTGGTTCATAAAAACACCAGAGGAAAAAAGATTAAACTAAAACAGCAGTTAAGATTATACTTTTCACCCATGCAATGGCAAAGATATCTACGAGTGTTAATGACAATATCCAAAGTCGGCACAGGTGCAAAGAAAACACTCATTTTCTTACATCAATGATGAAAAAGTAAATTGAAATGATCATTCTAAAGAGAAATTTGGCAATATGTTATCAATACTTAAAATATGTTCATGGCCTTTGACCAAGCAATGCTGCTCCTAGAAGTTTATTCTTAGAAAATAATCACAAATTAGCCAAAAAAATAATCTAGATATAAAATAGGTACCGCTATACCACTTCCAAAATGGGGGAAAGCATGGAAACAATGTAAATATCAACCAAAAAGTATCATTTAAATATTAAGATATATATCCATATAATGGAATACTATGTTGCCAACAATATAATAATAAAATAACAATAATGATGATACCAAAAACAATGGCAGCTACTAATTATAGTTTGACAATGTGATAAACATTATTGTCAGCATTTCGCATGTATTAAGCATACATGTATTAATCACATGTATTAATTCCCCCCAAAAACCCTATGAGGTAAATATTAACTACTATTATTCCCATTTTACAGATGAGAAAGAGAGATGTTGAGAGAGATATTGAAGCGGAGACATGTTATGTAACTTGCCTAAGGTCACACAGCTAACAAAAGGCATGTCATGAATTCAAAGGCTCCTGAGTCTGTGCTCTTGGCCACTCTAATGCCAATCATGGACATTTAATAACGGGGGAATTTTTTCTTTGTTAAGAGAACGTTAAGTAGAAGGGAGGGAGGGAGAGAAGGAGGGAGGGGGGAGGGAAGGTAGGGAGGGAGGGAGGGAGGGAGGAAGAGAGAGGGAAGAAGGGAGAGAGAGAAGGAGGCAGGAGAGAGGGAAGAAAGTAAGGCAGGCATGGACACAGACGGCAGACACACGCAGAAAAAAAATCTGAAAGACTGTAATACTATGAACATTTTAGTATAACTCTGATAGTTTTTGGTGTATTTTTTCTATATTTCCCAAGTTTCTTCAATGTTTTAGGTTGATAATTACAAAAAAACATAGAAAAAATTTGTTAATTTTAAAATTGCATATTAGAAACAGCTGGACAGTTAATTATTTTTGTAATACCTCAGAAGGAGGCAGTTCACTGGTTCTTAATTGTGGAGCCTCAAAAAGAGCTCAAATGAGAAGAGGTCCAATCAGTCAGAAGGAGTCAAGTGGACCTTCTACCTGCCTTTACTAGGTTTCTGCTCCCACAGGCTGACATACAAACCCCACTTTGGGGCCCAGACGATAGTAATGTATTACATTTCTTTTGCATTGTTTTTATATAACCACCATGACAACAGCAGCAGCTACCTTTCAAAGAGTACCTGACATATGTCAGAAATTCATACTAAGAATTATACAGTATGGTGTTCTAATCTTCACAACTTTTTAAAGTAAGTGTAAGGCTGGTTGCCTCGCCGGGAGTTCAGACACGCCCATCTCCCTCCCCACTTGAAAATTACGTTATCAGAATATGCCCATCATCTAGCTCCGCCTTGGAAATCCCCTCTGCACTCGGCACCTAGCCCGCCTTGGAAATCCCCTCTGCACTTGGCACCTAACCCCACCCTTGGAAATCCCCTCTGCACTCAGCACTTAGCCCCCTCACCGGAAATCCCACCTACCTACCAATAGCAGCTTGCCTTGTTTACATCCTGTTTCTCCAAATCTAATCGAACACCTTCACTCCCTATAAAACCCCACTCCTGAGAGGAGTCAGGCGCGACTTCCCTGGCCCCTCTCCCGGGGACCACAGAACCTTGCCGGGGAGCTGAATAAATTGGCATCTAATTTTCTTGTGCTGGCCTCAGTTTCCTTGTTTTTAACTCAGCAATAAACCTACGGAGAATAAACTTTACAGTAAAAATGACTCATTTTAACACCTGAGAAAAAAAGTAAAATCTGAAGAGGTTAAGGGACTTGCCCAGAGTCACACAACAAAAAGGATACAGCTAGGAGTTTGGCCAGGGTTTCATGGCTTTAATGCCAGTGTTCTTCTACCATACTATGTTTTTTAGACAGGGAATATGGCATGGTAGTTTAGAGCACTGATTCCAAAGTCTGAATGTCTCAGTCTGAATTCTGGCTCTGTAGCCTTAAACAAAGTTATTTAAATTCTTTGTGGCTCAGCTTTTTCATGCAAAAAGTAGGAATATTAAACTAGGTCACAGGGCAATTACAAATCAAGACACTTATTGCACATAAAATCATTTCCATCAGTACATATATGTAGATTCTGAACAAACTCATTCAAGAAATTTGCAATAAAAATTATGCCACATGGATTGATATAACAAAACCAAATTTGCATTCTGTAAACTTTTCAAAGATAATACAAACACATGCAGGGTCTCACTATGTGCCAAGACCTGTTATAAGTCCTTTATAAACATTAATTCACTTGATCCTCATAATAAAATGCCCCAAGAAGCCTAGCAAGCTTACATGACTTTCTATTGCCAATTTTATAGGACTGATAATATCCTCTCCTTTACCTGGACTCTTCGTAGATGAGCCACACGCTCTTCTATAGAGGTCTGCAAGGCCAAAGGGACTTTCAGAATTTCCTGGCAATTGTCCATCAGAAATGTTACCAATCTCGCAGCTAATAACTCATCCAAGTCCACTTCATCCTTGGAACACAAGATGCAATGGGAAAATGTCTGAACCATCTAAAAAAAAAGAGGGGTGGGGGTGGTAAAAACAGATGAGTATTTTTCTGAAGTGAGTCCAATCTAATTTGCAAAAAGCAAATATGAGAAATGGTCTTAAGCACAGGGTACACATTCTACCAAGAGGACACAGTCATCTCAGATGGGCTGAAGGTCTCAACAACCAGAACATACAAAATGTGCATCTTCCCATTAAGAGACTGCAGAGAGATGCTTAACTGAGCAATTTTTAAAGGTACCTCCTTTTACACGTGATTTTAAATATACATATACATATATGTATATACATACACACATATATGAAAATAAATTTTGAAAATCATTATCACCATGACTTGAATCATGTAGCACTTTTAAATTCAAAGCACTTTATAGCCAATTATTACTTATCCTAATTTCATTATTGATTTGTTTTAAACCACTAACACAGTCCATATGTCTCAACCATTACATCTTTTCCTAGTTAACTTATTTTCTCTCAGATTTTGGATGCATATTTGACAATCACCTTTGAACAAAACCATGGGATTTTATAGTACATTAAGTGATGAGACTCTTTTTGCAGCAAGCAGAAATACAAAATATAGCATCAATATAATATAATAATTTCTATAGAATTCATATTAACCATTCCATTCTTTTTTTTTCTTTTTTTTTTTTTTTTTTTTTTTTTTTTGTTTTTTTGATTTTTTTAGACAGAGTCTCACTTTGTTGTCCAGGCTGGAGTGCAGTGGTGTGATCTCGGCTTACTGCAACTTCCACCTCTTGGTTCCAAGCAATTCTCCTGCCTCAGTCTCCCTGAGTAGCTGTGATCTTACAGGTGCCCACCACCACATCCAGCTAATTCTTGGATTTTTAGTACAGACAGGATTTCACCATTTTGGTCAGGCTAGTCTAGAACTCTTAACCTCAGGTTATCCACCTGCCTCAGCCTCCCAAAGTGCTGGGATTACAGGCATGAGCCATCAGGCCTGGCCTAACTACTCCATTCTTAATGCTATTCTTTGGACTGGCTTTTTAAATTTTCCTACTAATTTTATTGCTGACAATCTTCCTTCAAAATCTTCAAGCATAAAATCATGTAATTCTGCTTAGTAAGACTTCATTTCATTAACACACTGCAAATGATCTTCACTTACATTTATATGTACAGAGAGACACTCAGGCAGAGATTTTTTGTCTGGAGACCATGGACCCCAGAGACTCTGTGATTGCCTTGAAACTGCATGCAAAGTTTTGCACATATATTCTATATGCGGAATAGATATAAAGTTTTCTTCAGCTTTTCAAAAAGGTCCATTAGCCTCTCTAGCCATGCACTCACCCTAAAAAATATAGAGATCAAGAATCCTACTGGGCACTGAGTGCTCCTCTAATCTTACTCTATTTTTCTTAAACTGGGCCAGTTAATCTCTACACAGTGGTTTAGCGGGATATAGAAAGCACATACATTTCACTGAAGCACCAATTTTGTTCCAAGACATTTTTTGAGAAAAATTAAGAGATTTTGCTAGTAAGTAGGTTCTAAAATAAACTCTCTTTAAAAACATATGCTAACAGAAGCAGAGATTAGATGGTGGTTACCAGAGGCTGGGGGTACAGGGACATGGAAATGGAAGATGCTGGTCAAACGGGACAAAGCTCCAGCAAGAAAGGAGGGGTAAGTCTTAGTGATCTAGTGCACAGCATGGTGACCACAGTTATAACAATGTATTGTATATTTCAAAATTACCAAAAGAATAGATTTTTAATGTTCTCATTACAAAAAAGATGAATACTGTAATTAGCTTGACTCTTTCTATAATGTATACATAGATTAAAACATCACATTATACCCCCATAAATATATGCAATTATTATTTGTCAATTAACAATACATACAAAATAATTTTAAGTGGGAGGACAGGATGTAGTGGATCTCTCTACAGAGTCCGTCCCTTACTCAGTCTTCATGTTCTTCAAGACACTTAAACCAAAAGCATGATACGAGTCTGGGTGGACACTGACTGTAGTTCTTTTAAGCAAGCCTGCTTTGTATTTCCCTCTGATCGCCCAGACTAACACACCTTACTCAGTCAACTTTCATTCCAAAAAGTAGTATCTTATGTTAAAAATCAACCTACCAGTGTTCTGGTGCCAAAGCCATCACACAGGGGTGGCATCTCTTTGTTTAAGCAAATCCTTGCCATCATTCTCATCAATAGCTGTAACTTCCTCCTATTTTCAGGAGGTAGGAGAAGGCAGCAAATCTGAAATGCTTCAACTGCTACTTTCTCTTTCTGTAACAAACCTGATTTAGAAAAAAAAAAAAGTTCTCTTTTAACATCTGTAGCCTATTTGATTCTATATGGTCACATTTTAACAAAATATATATTAGCAAAATTACATAAAATATTTTCACAGTTTCAGCTATACCAGGTAAATTGAATATAGATCCATTGTCACTCACAAATCACCACAGAAAACACAAACTATCGACCAGGGATGACAAATATATAGAACCAAATAGAGCCATTTTCTCCTCCCATGCACTAGGCAGATATGTCTCAATTTTCATAGCATTCTTTCCCACTGAACCAGGAGCAGCCAGGCTGACACTACCCTAACCCCCAACACTCACGTTATTATTAAGTCCAAAATAGCAAGAACATGAACATGTCATCGCTGCCCTGAATTCTCCCCTCTATATTATTTCCTCATTATCAGCAGGCTCACCACCTTGCATGACTCTTACTGACTAAATAAAGAACTAATGCCCACATAGTCAGTCCACTGCCAAATGGTTCCACTTCTTTCTAAATAACATCTGTCAAATAACCCTTCCTTCCACTTAGGCTATCTTTCACAGTTAAGTGTGCTGATTCAACTATGTTATATGCCATCCTTTCTCACTTCTGGTATGATCTTAGCTAAAAGTTAGGATATTCTAGCCAGGCACAGCAGCTCACACCTGTAATATCAGCACTTTGAGAGGCTGAGACAAAAGAATCACTTGAGGCCAGGAGTTTGAGACCAGCCTGGGCAGTGTAGTGAGAACTCATCTCTACAAAAAAAATTTTTTAATTAGCTGGCATGGTGGCACATGCCAGTAGTCCTAGCTATTCAGGACACTGAAGCAGGAGAACAGTTTGAACCCAGGAGTTTAAGGTTATAGTGAGCCATGATTGCACCAGCCTGGGCAATACATCAAGACCCTGTCTCTCTCTTTTTTAAAAAAGGATATCATAATATTGCTCTTTTTTTTTTATTATATTTGTCCCTGGACACATTTATATCCAAGCCCTTTAATGAGGTGAAACTGCTCCTATCAGTTTATCTGTTCTATATTCAACAATTTCAAGTTACCACTAGTCTTTGGGAGGCAAAAACCATCTTTTATATTGAATAAGTATTTATTGACCAACTACAATACACAAGAACTGTGCTACATTCTGAAAATACAAAGATATACCAGGCTTCTTCCTTTGAAGAGCTTATGCACTGTGAGGAGAAACCCATTAACAAATAAGTGACAAATGAGAAGCAATGCAAGAAACATCTGCAAGGGCCACAGGAGGGGAACTATAAGTCACTCAATATGACTGCAGCACAGGTTATAAGGGGAATGACTTGGTAGAAGTAAAGCTAGAAAAATCAACAGAGATGAGATCGTAGAAGGCCCTGACTGCCAGACAAAGGAGATTGGGTTTCATCCCAAAGGAAATGGATGTGCATGGGTGGGAAAGGAGAGCAGAAGAGAGAGGTCTTCTAGACCAAGTGCAGATCCTAGACATACTCAGGAATGCTGCTGATTATCATTATTATCATCTAAGTAGACCTGTTTTCAATTCCACATCATTAAATCATGGAAAGAAAAAAGATTTACAATCATATTTTAATATATTCTTTCATTTACCCAACAAATATTTATGAAGCCCCACCTATATTCCAGGAACTGTATTAGGAGGGGACATACAGTGAAGAATAAAGCAAAATCCCTGTGTGATCTCATGGGGCTTGTTTTCCAGGATAAAAAGCAAAAATATATAGAAGTACAATGTCAGGTGGAAAGATGCTATGGAGAAAAACAGACTGGAAAGGAGCTGGGGAGTGAGGGAATGTACTCCAAAAAATAGTTCTATCATTTTCAGGAAGGCCCCTCTCTAAGGCGATCATATGAGCAGAGATCCAAAGGAAATGACAGCAAGCCAGGGAAATACTGCAGAGACAAACTTTCAAGGTAGAGGAAATTGCAATTAACAAAGATTGTAATGTGAGCCCATGCTGGGAGTGTGTGAGGTATCGGAATGGAGCCAGCATCGAGAAAGAGTGTGGGTAAGGAAAAGAAGTCAGAAATCAGGTTAGAGAGGCAGCTAAGGGGTGGATCGTACAGAACTTCATAGGCTATATAACTAAGGACTGTGGGGTTCATTATAAACGACCTGAGAAACCACTGGTGGGCTCTGAGCAGAAGAGTCACTTGATGTGAATTGCTTTTTACTCTAGCACCTGTATAGCAAATAGATTGTAAGGAAAAAACAGGGAAAAAGAAAGCCACACAGCATACTGATGGCCTGGATAGGGATGTAGCGATTGAACTGGTAATAACTAGAAAAATTGTATTTCTCCACAAAGCCATCTAGTTTTTCCATAAAGTCTTCTATATCACTGTCCTACAAATCCCTTCTTTTTCCAAATTAAAAATCCCTTTGCAAAGGTAGATCTCACCTTATCATTGATGAATTGTATCTACATTGGTTTATGAATGAGACTACAAGCTAATTGAAAGCATAATGTATTTCTATTGGAAAGCCATATTTCCTAGTATAATACAAGGTAAACAAACACTCAAATACCTATTTATCAACAGACCAAATTTTATTATAATATTAGCCAGGATTATATGGCTACTAAATGATAATTTTTGAAGTTATGCAACAATATTTATAGTATAATATTTAAGAAAAAAATGAAAGTATGCTGATTATAAAATCTGTAACCGAGTTTTTTTGAGGTGTTGGTGAGGCAAGGCTCACCCGAGAGAATGCTGTGGATTCTTGGTCTCCGCCCTCTTAAGAATAAGAGAAGGAACCACTGTGGGCATGCTGTAAACTCGTAAGAGTAAAATACTGGACCCAAGAAGTGTTGCAGAAAGGTTATTTTATTTAGGTAGAGAAAAGAGAAGAAAAGAATAAGAAGAGAAAGACTTCCATGAAGATGGAGAAGTGGATTCCAGAGGGGAAATCCAAGAGGGGAAAGAGAGCTCCCACTATGTGGGAGGGAATCCAGAGAGCTGGAAATCCAGTATGGGTGACGGAGCAGGGGAATTTATCCTGGGAGAAATTCCCACCTTCCCAAGTTCCTCTGGCCAATGAAAGGAGTTCCTTTGAACCTCCGCTGGAGTGATTGACTTTTGATTCTTCCCGCGCCGCGAAATTCAAACATAAACTGTTAAATATCCTGGATGGAGAGAGACGGGAGGGGAACATGGCGCTGGGAAATTCTTGCCCTTAAAACTATGCCTCCTTGTGAACTTGGTAAGAGAACACATTCCCTCAAAGTTTTATGAAAAATAATGTATTAAAAAAGAAATATATTTTAAAATTAAGAGTACATCAGATTTTTTTATTTTTAAATTTCTTTGTGAGGATGCTGTTAAACAAATATGTAAAAAGTATATCTATTATATTTTTTCAAAAAATCATTACTAAATTCTAAACTACCAGTTGTTTGCATGTATAAAGCCAAAATTAGAGTAGATAATGATTTCAGGCTTCATGAAAATTAAGTGAGGCTAGGCATGGTGGCTCATGCCTATAATCTCAGCATTTTGGGAGATCAAGATGGGAGGATCGCGTGAGGCCAGGAGCTTAAGACCAGCCTGGACAACATCACAAGATCCTATCTTTATAAAAAAAAATTAAAAAATTAGATAGGCATAGTGGCGCATGCCTGTGGTCCTAGCTACTCAGAAGACTAAGGCAAGAGGATCACTCGAGTCCATGAGCTTGAGTCTGCAGTGAGCTATGACTGCACCACTGCACCAGCCTGGGCAAAAGAGCAAGACCCTGAAAAAAGAAAAGGAAAGGGAGAAATAAAGAAAAAGCAAAAAAGAAATTAAGCAGAAGGCACAGGCAAATCCATCTCAGAAATTTATCTTCACAAACCTACATACTGCATGATGAGCGACCAGGCTTGACTCATCAACATCCCAGTAACTCAACCCTCCTGTGAGACCAGGGTCTCCCTTTTCTTCCCTCCTGATCCCAGCTGGGACTCCTCTACAATTCCTTCCAGCTGTCAACCTTCCTATTTCCCATGAAAATAGCAGCCTATGCTCTATCTCTTCCTCTTTTAAATCCATAATCATTTCCCAAGATTGTCCCCTTACTGCTGGCAGTGAAGAAGCCACTATCAGTATCTTTAATGGAAGGAAGTCTCTGCTACATAATATTGGATAATGTGAAGGGAGAGGGAGTTGCTTACCCCCAAAGCTAAAAGAGCAGCATGAAATGATGACGTTCCTGTCACCTGCATCTGGAGCATGGGATACAGTTTACCAGACTGGGGAGAAAACTCACTGTAAGGACTGGTTAGGTCTATAACACTATTAGATTTGAACCACAGTAGATCTACATAATGGATTAAGTAGGACTCTGTAAGTTGATCTTGTAATGTAGCCATCTTTTAAAGCAATGTTCTGAGTAGTGGGGAGAGAGGGGAAGAGCAGAACACTTTTTCCAAGCTACCTGCTTGGAAAGGCTTAGGGTAAAACCTATCATTTTGACATAATTTCAGAGACAAAATTGAAAAATTAATTCATTTCTCCCTCCTAAGAGGTATAAAATTGTTTGCCCAATTCCCTTTACCTGATTACTTTTTTTCAAATATACATTACTACCACTTAATATACTATAGAATTTATTTATGTTATCTACCATTGTCTCCCCTCTGCCCCACTGGAATGTAAGCTCCACAAGGGTAGAGATTCTTGTCACTTTTGTTTGTTGATATGCCTCCAATAGCTAGAAGAATACCTGGTACATCATAAGTACCAATAAAGTTTTGTGTAAATAATGAATGAATGAATAAGATTGACCCATCTCTCATTGGGATGGCAGTCAGAATATCTGGATTAAATCCCAGCTCTCACCTGACTGTGGACAAGTCAACCTCCATAAATCAGTAAAATGTCCAAATCAAGGTACTACACTGGGTATCCATGGGCCATACAGAGGAGTCAAGTAAACTAAAAGTTTCAAGAGCATTGATCACAGCTACTGCTACATTAAAACTAACAACAGGAGGAAG